GTGGAGGAATGTTGCCGCCACTGTCAGTATCATAAAAATCTTTCTTCTGTATCTGCTCCCGCAACAAATCTTCAACCGATTTCTTCCCCATAGCTTTCTCTATCGCTTTCCATGGTGATATCTGGTAAAAAAAAGTCATTACAACAATCACTGGGAACGAATTTTACGAAACACTTGCACCTTTCATCAGACAACAGAACAGCAAGGTAACATACACAAAAGGAATAAAAAATAATTCACACACGGAAGAACTTAAAACAAGGAAAAGCATCTGACCTCGTCACCGCCATTGGACTTATCCTTCCCACCAAATAAACAGACAGCAGAACTTTGCTTCCATTTCCCAGTACGTGCAACACGCCGGTGATTTAACAGAGGCGAAAACTGAGTAGACACTGAAGCAGTTGCTCGAAGAGTAAATGGGGTACGAGGGGAATAATTAGAGCGTAACGATGACCTAGCAGGTACATTGGAGACACAATCTGGTCGTGTTATCCTTGAAGGATAGTTGGATGGTCGAAAACAATTAGCCTGAGTAAAGCTCATCTTTCTACTCCAATGTTTATCTTAAATGCATCAACTTTCGAATATCAACTGCAGAAATCAATAGCAAACGAAGAACACAACCAATCAGAAAACAAGAATTAAACTAAGAAAATGTTCTTCTGGGCATGATCTAAATGAAGAGCATTAAGCTATTCTAATCCAAATTGGGAATAAACAACAGAACAAAGCTATGGGATGATTCAATCGCGGGCATAAACAATATCAGTTACCAGAAATCAGGAAATTCTTCTATGTAAAGGCACTGGTTCGGAGATTATAAGGTAAGAACAATGAGAAAGCTCGCTATATACAGGAATATCGTAGAAAGAGGAGACTCGGAAACCATAATCGTACCTTGTGGAAACTTGACGGGTTTGAGAATTCGAAACCCTAGTTTCTCATTCGAGAAGAAAGGATTCGATTTTCGCCTTTGCGCCCAAAACGAAATGACGGAGAGGCGAGAGTCT